TGTTACAGGAATTACCTCTAAAATAACAGTGGTTTGAGTTATGCTATATTATGCAACAGCTCTCTCTTCGCTGTAGAACATTTATTCACCTTAGCATTCCAAATATTTGAAGCTGCACCTTGATGGTAGTCCGAACTACTTTAGGATATAAGCCAGGCATGCATTGTATTATTTTTTGCCCTTTTCGGGCCGATTTTACAGTCGTGCGAGAATTTTTTTGATTGGGCCGAGTTTCAGCCTCATCGTGCGTCCTAAGTCGTGTAGTATGATGCTTTGCACTGAATGCTAGGCTTTCAACCATTATAAATGTTTCATTTTAGGAAAATGATTTTAGCAGGAGTGATATAAATATCCCCTTTTGATGCAAGAGCTCAGTAAAGGTACCTATTCAAAAAAAATACAAGCGATAATGAAATAGCAAAGCCCTCTGTTTTATGAGTAGGTAGTCTCTTCACAATTATGTTCCAGAGGTCTGCTTTCACAACTGTCTATATAAGGTTATGGTGAAAAAAGAAAATAGACAAAAAAAAAACATTTCTGCAATCAGTGAAAGTGATCGGTTTGACAGGGGGTGCAATGTAGTGCAACTTTGCCATCCAGAACGAAATTCTGGCCCTTGTGTCCTCTGTTCTGGGTCACAGCACAGCAGGAGGACTGTACGTTAGCACAAAGAGCCAGCATGAGGTGAAACCTGGCAGATGTTTGTGTGAATGTAATGGTCAATTAGGAAAGAAATGGATAGAGACAAGCTTTTTCTATTATGTCCAGATCCATCACTCCTTTAGTGTAAAACTGTAAAGAAGCCAGGTGTTGAAACAAACATGCACATTTAAGCTACTGTTTGTATGTCTACTGTTTACAGTCCCCTGCTAAAATATCCTTATTAATGGAACCTTTTCACATTTTGTTAGAATATTACCACAAACCTCAAACTGTGGGGATTTTAATGTTACAGACCATTTGAAGTAGCATGTAATTAAGACAGGTAGTTCTGAGCTTTTAACTGCCGACTGTGAGAGACCTCCATGGAAAACATGTGGCCACTAAGACTGCTCTAAAAGGTGTAAGGTAATACATGTCTACATTTCCTGACAAACTTTCATACTGCTGAAATTAGATTTTTTCGCCATAATTAAAAACATCTCTCAAATATCATCAGTGAAAGATGAAAATACATTTACCAGCATTTTCTGTTTTATGTCAAGTCAACTCAAACTCAAGGAACTTTGTCTGGATGCAGTAGCAGTCTCCTCATCCTGAATTTCACAAGCCAATAGGAAAAAACTGGTCAGCAAACAGAAAAAAGTTCTGGTGAATTTCAGAATGAAATCAACCTAACAACCTACATTAATTTGAACAATGAAAACAAGAGGGCAAAAAAATACAGCTATCAGCTGATGAAAGGGATATCTACAAGCAAACAAGTTTGGCCAACAACTTGTGGAAAGAGCATGAATCCATCAGAACTTTTTTCTTTCGAGCACCGTTCCTGCAGCTGGAGCCATAGCAGGGGCATCCAGGCACAGCCAGGTACAGATTTCAGTGTGAGTCATGACTTTCTGCATTACGCTCACACAGTAGCTGTACCATGTTTAGTGTGAGACTTGCATGAGAGGTCTGGGCAGTTGATACAATGGCTGCTTTTCCATAACAAATATGTGCAAAACTATGTTAATATCCTGCAAAAGCCCAAAATGCAAAGTTCCACAATTGCGGTACTTTTCTTTAAATAGCCTAATTGCATTTGAATACGTTTGCACATCCAATAACTTGGATCTAAACATATGAGATGTATCAATATTGCAGCCACAGTTCATGTGGCCATCATCATCCTCCAACTATTTTGAGTCTTCTTCATCTTTAAACAAGTCTAGCTGCTGATCACGTGACTGAAAAAAATCACATGACTGAAAAACTACCTCAGGCATTACTACTTATCAGAGTGTCGAAAAAAATCTTATCTCCACATAAAATTTGTGGCCAACTGAGGAACAAACTGGTATTGGTATATTCAATTTTATTTAAAAGAAGAATAAATTCCTCCTTAAAAGCTGCTATGGTTTTTTCTTAGCAATATTATCCTTGGTCCACAATGTATGACAAGATTTTAAAGAGTCGGGCTCTCTTCTGTGATTTCCAGAATATTCTCTGAGATATCGAACAGCATATTACAATTACAAATAATTATTTAGTTTTATTGTTTTCTGTTCCAGAATTATTTAGCCTCATTCACAGCTGTGTTGCTAACTATTAAGGTCCTTGGCCCCGTGGGGTTCCTTTTCTCTGGTAGCTTAGGACAAGACCGGTATGTATGAGGCTTGCTCTTATGTCTTTTATTTTTCTCAGAAGATGAATAATTTCCCTGTATTTCATTCAACCAGGGAACATTTTGAGGAACGATTCCATTATTTACAACTGGCTCACTCCTATCAGTTGTTGTGACAACTGATATATTTAATAGCCAAGATCTTCTTATGAGTCTTTTTTTATGTTTATGCCTTGCACCTAAAACATGCAATTTACTCTCAGCATTATTTCTGCTCGCTGCATTGTTGAACTGGCTGTCACCCTGTTGGATCACAGGCAGAGTTGAGCTGGGCTCCATATTAACCCTCACATTCACTTGGCTGTGGCTATGTGGGATCACGGGATCATGGGCAGAGTCGCAGTATAGTTTTCCCCTATATTAACTTCAAAATTCACTTCTAGCTCATGGATTTTCAGCTCCAAATCAGCCATTGTGTGCTGATAAGCTGTCATGGACTTGTCCTTCTTTTGGGTTTCATAAAAAAAAAAAAAAAAGATCCATCCATCCATTTTCTGTCACTCTTATCCCAAGTTGGGTTGCAAGGGGTGCTGGTGCCTATCTCCAGCTGTCTAGCCAGTCTATTACAGGGCGACACAGAGACAAACATGCCCACACCTCAGGAGAATTTAGAGAAGCCAATTAACCTAACAGTCATGATTTTGCACTGTGGGAGGAAGCTGGAGTATCTGGAGAGAATAGAACCAGGAACCTTCTTGTTATAAGGCAGCTGTTGTAAGTCCAACCTTTTTATAACTATGGCTAAAGCCGATTATGCACTATATTATTTTTTTGCCCTTTCAGGTCTATTCTCCTGTCGTACGAGAATTTTTCAATCGGGCCAACTTTCAGTCTGATCAAAAGTCGTGCGTAGCGTAGTATACGAAGGGGGGATCAGCTTCTCACAACCAACTCCCGAACAGGAATGGTAAGGTCGGGAGAAAATCTAACATGTTTGAAATTCAGTCGGCCTTCGTGGGCAAATCGCTCAGTGGGCATGCGTAAACAAGGATTCTTCTTCTTCTTCCTCTCTGTATAATTGACAGACTTTAGTTGCCACGGTTGCTCAACCATGTCTTAGTCCAAATGCTTCGTCGCCTTTTCTTTTTAGGGCTTTCAGCATAAAATTGCACAAATTGCCAAGGCAGCACGTTTCACTCTAGTGAGCTTCATATTCCTCTTGTACTCATTTCGCTTCCGGCTAGACGAGTCCGAGTAGCACCATCTCACTGCGGAGCTGAGTCCTACGTGGTTTTTAGATGTACAGTATGAGCAGGTAGATCGCATCAGACCGTTGGGCCATACAGACACCATGAGCTGTGAGCTGTAGCTGTGTGCAACGAGTGAAAATATCGTACAGAGTATGCCCAGATTAAGACATAAAAGAGTTAAAAATAAAAGTATTATAGTGGGGGGTAAGAAATTGTCTCAACAGAAAAAGAGCAGAAGTGGAACTCCTACTTTTCAAAAGTGCTTTTAGAAACCATTAAAAACAATATTAACTGTAAACGCAGCAAATTTGTTTGTTTTTCAAAATACATTTTGGTTGATTTTTAATAGTTTGACATTTACGATCTATATCACAGATAATGTTAATTTCTGAAGGACACAAAAAACTACCAAAAACAACTACACACTTCTTTATTATTTTAAACTGTTAAACCATACGTTTTCTTCTAATTTTTAAAGACATTACAATCGATTCGTATTCAGAAACCAAACCAGTTTTTGCAAACCCACCTTTGGCTTCTGTAACATTTAAATTTTTTCAGGATAGCCTTTATCAGCTTTCACATCTAAAGACTTATTTTTGTTTCCCCAGTATTCTCTTGCAAAATTATCTAAGCTTTGTCAGATGATAATAACACGATCTGTGTATAATTTTTTAGATCTTAGTACAATTTCACGATTTTGTTCAAGTCTGCAAATTTTTTTTTGTTATAAATACTGAGACCGCTACATGTAGTTTAAAATAAATGTAGGGGTTCTTTCTTTTTTTCTAAAGCCCAACAAACAGTTGGAAGAGATTTTAAAGTTTTGGCTTGGCTTGAGTACCAATTTAAACCTGATATAATATCTATTCAGGAGGTTAAAATTAAGGTAATGCCAAGGATGCCTTAAAATCATTGTGACTGCATAACTTAGGACTCTATACCAAGGATGTTGCAAAGTTTAGTTGTGAACAACAGTATTCTATATGTACACAGAGGAATGTTGCTTCTTTAATTATCAGGAAGCGATTCTATTAATTTATCATAGTACTCCATAACCTTTTGGTAAAAGACTCTAGAGACAGAGCAGTGTGCAGTTATAATGCTTATGGAAGTGTTCCAAGCAACAAATCGTTTATTCTAAAAGAACATAGAAATAATTACTTGCACTGCATTGAAAGAAGTCTAACCATTGGGACATTGAAAAGAAGACAGACTTCCTGCACAGTAGTCTGGGAATCATTTTTCATTGAAGTTAAAGATCCAGAAACAAGACAGATGCTTTAACTGTCTCAAGTAACTGCACTGTGTAGTTCTGAATAGAACTGCAATTGAAACAGAGAGCATGGCAGAGTAGCTTTTCTTAAACCCCCTTTGTAAGAAAACACATCTTTACTGAAACAATGTGAGTAAGATTCTAGGTTTTTTCTCTCTACTACCTACAATTTACTGTGTCTTCATTTTTCCCCCTTTTCTCTTTGCAGGAGCCCAAAGTGGACGCCATTGTGACATTCTATCTGCTTGACACACCAAGAGGAAAGCTGAACATAATTGTGTGCTCCGGGAGAAAACTAGAGAAGAGAAGCAAGCTTCCATTCTTTGTTCTTGCTTTATGAGAGCGGTCTCTGTAGACCCTGCTTCAGCACACTCTGCACTGTTTAGTTGCTGCATGTATCCACAGCTTTCAGGTGCAAGCAAGACCTAAAACACAAAGAGAGGAAAAAAGAAAGAAGATAAACAGAGTGGAGCAACATAATTAGTGGTACTGACTTTGTGTCAGAGCAGGAAACCATGGGAAGAGACGTTTGAAGGCAACGGTGCTCTGAGAAGCATTGCAGCTAACCTTCAGCATTTTTATGTTTGTGGGAGTACATGTCTGTACGTCTCTGTCATTTTCAAAGGAACTGAATTTGGATTTGGATGCGGATTTACCCTCTTATTATGTCTCTAGAATTAGGCTTTGAGAGACTGTGGAATGGTTGCCACAGAAAGGTTTTCTGCTTATTTTTGCTTCTTGTTTGTTATTGTTTGATCACCTTGGCAGCTAAACCCAAAATGCCAGGCCACACGCACCTCAACTCAATACGTATTGATGGGGACATATCCCTGGGTGGACTTTTCCCAGTACATGCAAGAGGGAATGACGGCAAAGCTTGTGGAGAGCTAAAAAAGGAGAAAGGGATCCATAGGCTGGAGGCCATGTTGTTTGCCCTGGATCGTATCAATAATGACAATGAGCTGCTGCCTAATATCACTCTGGGGGCCAGAATTCTTGACACATGCTCTCGGGACACCCATGCTCTGGAACAGTCGCTGACATTTGTCCAGGCATTGATTGAGAAAGACTCGACTGATGTGAAGTGTCTCAGCGGAGGTCCACCCATCATCACCAAGCCAGAGAGAGTGGTCGGAGTGATTGGTGCATCGGCCAGCTCTGTGTCAATCATGGTAGCCAACATTTTGCGACTCTTTAAGGTCAGTTTTCTTTTATTTACACCTAATGTTTTCTTGATTTTTTTCAGCACTAAGTTTTCACAATTCAGCATACATTTTTTGCAGAAATATGTTATTAGAACTTAATGAAAAACATGAACTCTACTGAGAAATTGACTGGTCTCTGGTAAGAGCCAATTTTCAGCTTGATTAGTATCTACCCAGTCAGAAACAATAAACAAACCATATCCAAGTTTTTCCATGAAAAACAAATTTAGCTGTTTTCATTATGAGTATTTTTTTATGTAATTAAATCAGAGGTGATGTGGAATATTTATAATGGATCTGTATTTTCTCTACATACCTGTATTCAGTTTATTCGAACTGCAAGTAAAGCATACCTTTTTATTTTGTTTCTATTTCAAAGGGGATCTGTATAGGATGTGCATTTCCACACACTGCTTGTTATTTTGAGTAATGCTAGCAATGCTAAACGGAATATCACTACTATTAGATGCTAAGGATTGTTTAAAATATTAACTCCTTTAGAACTTTTTGATGCCCAGGGGTGTTAAAGCTCTATTATACTGCAACTGCTCTCAAACACCAAAGCATGACATCCACTTCTTTCCAATTTAGAAGGTTTCTCTACAAAAGCTAGAAATTGAAATTTTAATGGTGTTTGCATGTAGTGCTATTTTAATATCTATATTAATTATAACTATAACCATAAAAATGATGATTCGAGAATGCCCTGTCAAAAAATACTACAAAAATTGAACATAATGTTACTTTTTTTTTTTTAACATCCATAGGAATATAATTTGAAGTGTGGATGTTTTTCAACACTGTCCACAAAAACTGGCCACTAATAATTGGATCACAGTTCCTCACACTAATTAATTAATTAATTTGCCCAACAGTCTCAATCCAAGTCAATCTAGCCTTTAATTTTTTCATGAAAACCATTCATGGATTTAGAGGCTCTTTTGACTTTGTGTTTATAATAGACCAACCATGCTTTCTATTACTTTGGTTCAGTGTGATGCAAATCTAAACAATATTAGGCTTTTCTAACATAACAAATATGGCAAAATGTTGCAAAAGTAAATGCAAAAGCCCAGATTACACAGGCTCAAGGTGTTGATAGATCCAGACAAGTTATTAAAGACAGAAAAGCTTTAAAATACCAATCAATAATAAAGCTGTTTCAACACTCTTTTGTAAAGTAAGTAGTTTTGAAATGGAATAAAGGTTTTGCTCCCAAAGCCGGAAATGCTGGTCCATATATTGATGATAATGTAGTTCATGTTATTGTGGGGATAGTGTATGTTACTTTTTGGGTTCCTGTCTGTGTGGCTGTAAACCAAGCAAATAGTTTTACAAATAACTATGTTTTTAATAGAAAAGGACAAGTTAAATAAATGTTTACTTGCTACAATTAAAAAGAACACAGCAAACACCTTTACCAGAAAGGTTATTTCAGCAGGAAATAGTTAAAAGCTCAAGCAAATATGGGTAACAAAGATTATTTATTCTGACCTAGAATAATAAAGTCCTTATTTTAAACACCTTTCCCCACAGCACTGATTATATAAACAACTCTAATGTGAAGGAAGAAGTTAAAATATGCTTTATGATGCTAAAAAGACAGGTAAAGAAGAAGGGTGTTAAAGTTTATCAGGTAGGAGGCATATTTGTTTACAGCAAATATAGATTTTTTTTTGTTTCATGTCAGTACAAAATGTCTGCTGATGTGTACAGATTGTGCTACTCAGAAAACTCTGTTCTTACATTCCTCATATATATGTTTTCCATTAATAGTTAGATGCAAACTGCAATTTATTTTCTGTGCCTGAGAAAAATTAAAAAGAGAGAAGTTGACTGAAACTACTGTTAATTATATTATATTAGGATTTTTTTCTCTCACATGTATTGACTTTTTAGGGCCAATCACAAGTAGGAAAACTAAGTGCAGCATAACTTTTAGAGTTTGAATGTTGTGAAAGATGGTGTCTTGGATTAGTGTTTGCAAAACATTCATAGATGAGGGATGCAAAGTGAATTGAATTGTGCAGATTGGACTCACCTAGTTCAGTGGCTGGACAGAACAAATACATGACATGGAGATGATTTGTTGACTCCACATTCCCCTCTCTGACAAAATGCCGAATATATAGAAAAAAAAGCCTGACTTGACCCACATATATAATGTACACTATTCCTATGTTACAGTTGGTGAGCGCCCACACAGATCTGACCAACACTGTTGGCCAGAGTTGAAGAAGAACTCATCGCTTTTTTGAATGCTGTAAGGGTTTTGGGGTTCACAGTTTTTGTTGCTAATAGTCATTCAAAACTGTGCTGAGGTACAGCCAGAAGATGTTTTTACATATCTAGAGTTTGTAGTCATATGAATAAGACTTCAAGGTTAATACATCTCTCCTAGGGCCAACTGAGGTCTGAGTTTGGTATTTTAAATGCAGTGTAGTTATCTTTTGGCATTTTTTGATGAGTTCTCTGCTCCCTTTTTCTTGTTGTTAATCGTTCACTTTTTTTTGTGCATATTTCCCAGTTTTGATCATAGAAATTAATGCATGCAACTATGCATACAAAAACTTGGTTTAACAAAGCGATAAGCTTTGTTGAGTCATACACCTGTCAACATCCAAAGAAAGTAAAAATCACCCTTTTTTAGCAGCAGTAAAATGATCATGTTTTAATTGAGACTCAGCCAAAAGAAGGGAAAATATCAAAGCTTCTACAGGTGAAGAATAAACAAATGACACAATGTATACAGTTTGCTCTATTCATGCAAGCTACTACTTTCCAAAAGGTCCTATAGAGGATAAGACCTGACCCACCTGCTGTGGCATTGATTCAACTCTGTTGCATTTCAAAGAACAACTTACAGCTCGAGAGAGAGCAAGAAGGTTAATGCTATACTGTACGTTTGTTGCCTTCCACTTATATCACAAATAGAATAGAATAAATTCTGCAGTCCTAAATGACAGAATGAATCACATATTCTTTTTCTAGCAGCATGGTCAAAGTGCCATGCTCATACAGCAACTGCCATCATGGGACTACGCTGCATAATAACAAAGACGCAAAATAGTTGTCAATTTATCAAAAATAGGAAATATTGTATATATTGTGGCACTGTGTGAGAAATAAATATGGCTAGAAGCATAAGTTTGATGAGGGAAAATGACCACAAAAAGCCCTTTTCACATATAATTCACCTACTACACACAAAAGGAAGGAACATTTTGTTATGTGTTACGGTGCAAACCCTTCTGAGGTTCTGTTTTTTTTTTTCTGTATTCATATTTCGCTGATATATTAAATTGACTTCTTGGGAGTCTTTAAAACCCTTTAATCAACTTATATTCTATGTTGCATTTAACAGGGGAAAATAATAATCCCTAAATCATACTGGAGGGGAAAAAGAAGATGGAAGGAATAACTTAATATTCTAAATAATCACAACTCCTGAGTTAGCAGCCAAAAGATGGTTGCGGATGCTTCTAAAAGTTACATTGACCACCTATTCCTTATGTGTTGTCTTTTCTTTTTTCCCTTTGGTTAGTGTGGGTTATTCATCATTCGACTTTCTCTGCATTACATTTGCATTTACCTTACTTCATCTTATTTGGTGTAATTATGCAAATATTTTACCAGAGATGGTAAATCTTAATAAAGGTGGGGATCTGAGACGCATATATCTGTAATTTACTTATTTCCTTTCCAGAAACAAAGGATACTACTGTAACTATGACAATGCTTCAAGGCAATACATCTTTTTGCATAACTAAATAAATAAAAATTGGAACCCATGAGGTGTTTTGCTCTTGCACTATTGTTAAAATGCAAATTAGTCAGAGTGTATCGAGATTTTGTCATTAAGTTATCCAGGTTTTCATTTGCCCTCTGTGCTAGTGGAAGAGGAGAAACTCCAGGGAACAAAACCATTCACACTTAACTGGCTATTTTCTTGAGGCACGCAGTTTTTTATTTTTTACCAAATCTAAATTTGTACGATGTGGAAAGATAATGCTAGGAAGGATAATAAAAACATTCAGGGTTATTTTCTCTGGAAAAGTTCTATTCTTAAATGACCAGGACCCTTAAACAGAGACCTAAAAAAATATTGAATGGTTGATCTCAGATTATAGGCAAAAGTACTATATATTTTTGGTATTATAGAAAGCTGCAATAATGTACATCCCAATTCAGATTTTTAAAAATAGAAAAGATTTTTAATACAGAAATTACCACCTTTTCCTGCATTATTGCAGTATGAAATGAAACCAATTAGTCTATGACACACTACAGTATGTGAGTCTAATATTCTTTGTGACAATACTGCATTAATTGTATATTTATTTTGTATCAGAAGAGTTTGCTTGGAAATTTTACCATTGTAATTAATCCAGATCTAGATTTTCTCTAAATTTTCTCAGTAAAAGTCTGAAGAGTATTAAGGCCAGATAAAACAAAGGGAATCAACACCAACAGATTCCTCAGTCATTTGCAGGCTATGAAAACTTCACACAGGGCAGCAAGCAATTTGGATTTTCACTTTTCCTCCAGAATCTGGGAACTTCAAATGCAAGTTTTATTTTGTCTGAAAAGAAATCATTATAGCACCAAGCAACAACCCACTACTTTTTTAGATAGAAGAAAGTGGCTTCTGTGTCACATGTGGTTTAGAATTAGCTTAACACAATTATTGCAACTGTTTAGATTACTGTAGATTATGTTCTTTTACTCTGACTTATCTAAAATTTATTTTGGTACAGCACTTTAAAGACAAACTGGCAGGAGGCTTTAAATGACTCACTTAGACAAATCCAAAGGATTCTGTGACCATTTAGTAGCCATGAAATTTAAATTTTCTATTGAAAATCTTTTTTATTTAGTCTTATGTTCAAAATGAATAGAACTCAAATGCATCAATTATACAGTTTAACTGTGTGCAATTAATTTTTATTATTTATTTTGTGAATTTCATCATACTTCACTGATATTTTAGTCAA